AGATGCGGTGATGATTGATTGATATACCTTGGAAAAGTTGTAAGCGGCTAGCCTAGTCGCTCTCTCTATAGCCTTCTAAACTCTCTACTTCAGTGCCCTTTTCTCTTTGCTGTTACGATGTCAGTGAAGTTGTATTTCGGGAAGCAAAAGTCACGAGTCAATCGCACATTCTTGGCATCGGCATCAGCTCCTATTTCAGAAGTGGCGGGGCAAAGCTCCAGGGTACATGTATGGCGCGACCACGCTGTTACTCCAAGGAATTCTGTTTATGTTTGCAAGGTAAGAGGTGGTTGGATGGGCGACTGCATCTCTGAAGGGATGTTGGTAAACCCTTCCACCCTGGATGCTGTTTTCATTGACTTAACAGCTGTGGAAGGTCCTGAGGCTCCTGTCATCTCCTTCTTTTGACCTCCCCTTCCCTCCTTCTGTACCGGGTCTAAAGTCTTGCATAACCGGAGAGTTTAATCTTTGTCCTTCTTAAGGGTCTGGTGGGTTAAAAAAGCTGGTGTGCCCTCTCACCACTTACTCAGTTAAACGGCTTAACAGAGGACCCCCCCACTCCCTCCACCCTCCTCCTCCAGCTCAGACCAGGGGTGCAGATTAGGGATTGCACTGGTTCAGTCAGACAGCAGAATGGATCTGAGGCTTTGGCGGTGGGCTGCCGGGCTTGTAGAGTGAAAGGCTGGTGATGCATGTGGAATGACATTCCAGACACCCAGGCTTGTTGTATAACGGGTGGGGGGGAATGCCAGGCCACTGAAGCAGGGGAGATGTCAGTCTGTCAACTGAGAGAGAGCTTCAGGGCTTAATTTGAAAATGAGATACTGGCCGCCTGTCTGAAACCAGCTCATACAAAGAGTCTGATGGCAGCAAAGCTGGGTATTTTTTAAAAGGGTAGAAGCAGAGGATCTTTAAAGAATCCAGTGTGTATGTGTATTAGTCTCCACTGGTTAGGAACTTGCCAGCTACCTGTAAAGCACTTGCATTTGCACTTGAATTGCAATAAACTGCAGGCAATTTAATTGATCATAGGTAACAATTTTAATAGCCAAAATAAAATGTTTTAATGCAGACATTAAAATGAAAGCCATGTTGTCTAAACCTTACCTTGAATTTGAACATTTCCTGGTTCAGAGTTTTAAATGTGTAAACGGGTAGAGGTTATGAAACATGATGAAATAGGCAAACCTACTTGCCTATGTGACTCACAACAATATCATCTACACAGGTTCTACCCTAAGCCAAGTTCACTATGGTCAAAATGACTCTTTGAAGGAAGAGTTTCAGCTTTTACCTTTTAAGATGAAGGCTTGTCTCGTGTCAAATGGGAAGAGATCTCCATGTTTTGACTTTGCAAGTGTTCACATCACCTGACAACACAAGGCAGTGTATGCTTGTAAAGTTGCCCATGTGCAGGTTACAAAATGCTGTGAAAACGGTGACAATGTGGCATATATTAAATGCGGTTTTGTTACATAAGTGTGGGTTTTAATACCTTGAACAACAGACTGGCTGACACGAGGCTCGTGTTTGTTTGCATTTCAGGCACTTTGCCAATTTGAATATATTGACTTCACTGAGTTTCCCAGTCATAATTATGACATTAATTTTATTTACAAGTCAGAAACTAGTGCAAGCATTTCCTAAATTGCAAAGTTGTTGATTTAAAATTTCTGGCATGTTTTTTTTTTCTGTGGTTTTTCTATATGTCTGTTTCTAAACATGCTAGGTCTTTATGTATTTATGTACTGCGTGTTGTCTGTTGTATTTTTAATGGCTTGTGCAGGATGAATTCCCCTTGAAGGGACAATAAAGTGAACATAATGATTTTTCAGCATTGGCATATAAAATGTTGCTGTGCACACAGCACATTGAGCAGCATTTTGGTGTGGAAAGTGTGACACTGATAATGTTTGCTCAGTGCTGTGCTCTGTTATAAATGAGTTACATACCTGTTCAAGCATCTGACATCTTATCTTTTTCTATCTTCTTATCTGGTTTTGTAAGTTTTTCAGCCAACACACACTGTAGTTCTCAGGAAAGAAAACACAAAACCTTGCAGCAACTCGTGGACCTGGATTCCTCAGTGCTCAATTATTCATAGCTAGTGCACATACGTGAACATCATTAGTAGAGCTAATATAAATTAAATATTTGCATGGGTCAAACTTTGCTGTTTGACAGTGTTAATTGCTGCAGAGATGCCCACACCCCAACGCAACCAAGCCTTCACTGGGAGAATCAAATGTTTGTTTTAGATATTATATTTGTTGTCTAAGATACATTCAAACACACGGCAGTTCTGGTACTTTATATTTGCTCAGGACTAGTCATACGACAGTGGAGGCTTTAATCTCCAAACAAGACACTTTTGTGTTAGAAAAAACCCTCTCACCCCCTCACTCTCCACTTCCATAATCCCTTCTTTAATATCTCACACTGCCAGTGGCATTTGCCTCGTGCAAAATGGAGGATTGGATTACTAATGTTAGGAATGTAATTGAGGAACATGATTGAACATGTCACTTTGGTTGTTTGCATTTAGTGGCCCAGCATGCTTTGTGATGCGTTATGGGTGGAACCACTACTCCCTTTTCTACAGTGGAGCCAGCCACGGGAGGCTCAACAGGATCAGAACTGGTACCGACTCCAAATGTCTGTAAAACCAGATCAAAAGCGCTGGCCCGTCTCTGAAGCTGCTGCCCAGCTGACAAATCATCTTTGCTGGAAATAAGTTGCAAAAGAATTACAGCGTTTGTCTACTTTTGAGAATGTGAGCGAAAATACTGAGTAAGCTCTCCATACTATAGCTCTGTTTGGCCCTGTGGTGGAATTCAGACTTGTGTATGTCGGGCATACAAGCAGAGTTAAAACGCATTAAACTGAAGCTCAGGCAAAGCAAACAGCAACCATCAGCATTAACCCCCTGACTGCCTTTATTCACTCAGCTTGTTGTGGTCCAGCCAGTCACTCAGTGTTGTCTTTGATTTCAGTTTATGCTCCTCAGCATTAGTTAACTGTGCATCATGTGGAGTTATTTGACAAACTGTTGTTCAAGAAGCATCAAAAAGTTGACAAATTAGTCAAGTAAAACTGCAGCACTGGCAGAGAAACAACAGAACGGCTGACAAAAGAGGAAAAAACACAAAATCCGACAAAGGCTTGTCTGTGAAAGGCGGCAGAAAGAGAACAGCAGAGCAAGCTAAATTGACTTTTAGAAAATAAAAGGCACCACAAAAATCATTATTTGCTCTTTGCCAAAGTGGCAGGTAGGGTATCACCAGGTCTTTGCAGCTGGCTGATATTTATTTTCTAGCCTGACCAAGTTGGACCCACAACATGTAGCCACAAGCCCTGGGCTCCAAAGCATTTAAGCCATGCTGTGCCTCAGGTCTGCACCTGTCGGTGTGATTGATGAAAGCTGCCACCTCCACGTCCTCCGTGCAGGTAGCCACTCGTCACTGCCTTCTGCTCACTTCACTGTGAGCACAGAGGGGAACTTTATACACCCAGAGTTACTCACTTTGCAGCAGCCATACAGTGGGGTTTTATTTTTATATTTTTATTTATAATTTTTAATTTTCAACAGGCCCAGTTTATGACTTGAGAAAGAACAGCGACATATGACAAGCAGCAGATCAGCATGTTTGAGAAGCTGGAACCAGCAAACCTTCTGCTTATTTGCTTTAAAATGATAAATATAGCTGATTCATTTCTTTTGGCTCAGCAATCAATTGTTTGTCAAATCAAATCAATTGATCAAAAATCAGATATAAAAAGTGAAATGGATAAATTACATTTCTAGGACTGCAACTAGAAAATAATTTTCAGTCAATTGTCTGACTATTTTACTTACTCACTTTGTTGTTTTTTTGATCTATAAAATATCGGGCAAACTCCCATTACAAGTTCCCAGAGCCCACAGTGACATCTTTATTTATTCATTGATCTTTATTTTGTACAACGAACAGTCCAGAACTCAAAGGTATCCACTTTACTATCATAGATCACCAAGAAAATCCCAAAATATTCATTATTGAGAAGTTGGATATCGTGAATCTGAGCCATTCCCCCCCCAACAAAAAAAAAATGACTCAAGCTATTGATCAGTTATCAACATTGTTGCAGATTACTCTTCTGTCCTCCAACCATCAATCAGCATTATGATTGTTTCCAAAAATACATTGTTATAACTGTTTGTTCTATTAATTATTTAAGATTGCAGGCCACCTTGACGTAAATTTAAAGATAAATGGCCCGCTTGCTGGTATAAAATCCCAGCTAGACAATCTAAATAATTCAAGACACGGTGCACAACGTGAGGCAGGCACACAAACCCTACCGCAGTCTGTTCCATTGGAGTCACTTGAGTTTATCTTACAAAACAATCAGCAAACCAACAAGATGTGGGTCACATTCTGAATCGAAAGATGTTAAAAATAACAAACAAGGACGTCCTTGTGTCTCTGCGTTGAGGTCGGGTACTGGACAAAAGCTGCATTCTTCCTCCAACCCACAAGTTGGATCTCCTCATGCTCAGAATTTCCATGGCTGCTGCCCTTCTTTGAGACTTTTCGGTTTCCGCTGCTTTTAATATTTCCCGGTTCCCCCCTCATTAGGAGCGAGGCATACTGTAGAAATTGTGACGTCACAAAAGTGGACTTTTCCAGAGGCGGGTGTTTCCCTTCAGGTGGGAGTGGTTACAGCTGAAAGGAGAAACTGTCTGTTCAATGCTGCTCTGTTCAACATTTTATACAGAAATTCCATACTGCATATTTAAAATGTTGGGCAGAGAGTTACCTATGGACTTACACACACTTTTAAGCGATCTGTCTGGGCTTCTGGGCTATCAGTGTGAGCGTCAAAACTCAAAAGAAATATAAGATTTACAGGTTGTACAGGGAAACAACATAAACAGGATTCTTCCGATTTTGATAGGTAAATGCTGACTTCTAAATTGTTTTTCTCATAATTTTATTCATGTCTTCTTTTTTGTCCAGCTTTGGGAAGCGATCAGCAGGCAGCCTGCGACGCGGATGTGAGTGCATCGTCCTGGAACCCTCAGAGATGATTGTGGTGAGTCCCATTTTTCAGACTTTTAGCACACTAGTGTGAAAGGCATTACCTAAAGCACACCAGGCAAGACACACAAAATAGAACGGCATATTTCCTGCTGTAGAGCCACAGACAAATTGCGAGAAATAATAAGACGCAGCAGCAGAGAACATGTAAAGTTCTCATAAAAATTATTGATTTTGTAATTCCTTCATGTATTAAGAGTGATCTGCACCCACGCGGATCATCAAACCTACATTACCTACAGGAGAATATAGGTTCTTGAGCCTGTGATGGCCTGTACTAATCTGTCTAAGTGCCTCTTATTGACATTTCATCACAGCTTTGAAGCACAGCTGTATTTAACTGTGTCTTTGCTGAAGTCCAGCACGTGTGGGGTGACTGGAGTCCGAGGCTGGTAGAAACTCTGACCCATTTCTATGGCAAATCAAATGTTGGCTCACAGAAGAAGTTGCTGAGAACAAATCATTCCCGTCTCAGAGGGCCACAGAAGCAGGAGGTAGCAGCACAATGCAATCATCTGTTGAACAGAAGCCCTCTGAGGCTTGCGGATCAGAACAGATGCGGTTCTGCTGATGATTTTGCACTAAAAGGGAGGCAGTATACTAGACACAAAATCCATGTTGTGCAGAATCAAAAGCAGTTGTCATTCATAGCCCAGTGAGAAAATGTATGCACAGTATACTCGCTACTCAACTTGACAGGGTAGGAGGTCTGAATAGTTTAATCTAAAGTGGACTGGAGTTTTGTTTTAAGATCTGTTAACTGAGCCTGTATCAGCTAGACACAAACCCCTCAGTAATAACACCCTCTTCTCTGCTTACTGCAGACACTCTGGCCTTACCCCTTTGGCTATAATAGGTGCCAACCCACCCTGTAATTACTGAGGAGGGTTTTGTGTTGCTGGAATACAGATACTCATGACTAACCCCCCCCCACAAGTTTGAGGAGCACACAGAAAGATGCACACATAAAAACCACTTACAAAAAAAACTTAATAAAAAAAAAAAAAAGAAAAAATAAAACTAACAAAAGTTTTTTTTTTACAATTACACTCTCCCTTTCCCTCCCCCCCTCCCCCCCCCCCCTTTTTTTTTTTTGGGGTTGTTTGTTGGGGGGTTTTTTTTTTTTTTTTTTCCAAGGGGGGGGGGTGGTTTATGGGGGTGGTGGGAGGGAAGGAGGGGGGGGGGGGGGGGGGGGGGGGGGGAAAAAAAAAAAAAAAAAAAAGAAACTTAAATATGTCATTCCATCATGACCCAAAGCCACCAGGCAACAGAACGGTCCCATTAAAGTAGAATTTAACTAAAAATACGTAAGAAAACTGTATAATGTGGCTTCACTGCCAGCAATGTTGAGGTGGCATCCTCTGCCAGTTTCCACTTGGAATTTTTTCCCTCCTCCCATCATTAAAAATGGAAACATGGATTTTTATCTTGTTTTAACATGTAATTTCATTTCGTGGTTAAAATGTTTAACAGAGGCAGAGAGTTGAGAGCGTCTATTTCATCTGCTGCTCTTTCACTCCATCTGACTCCATCTCCGTTTATCGCCGCCTGTCAATCAATATCTCTATCTCCCTCCCTCACTTCAGATTCCTCGCTCATCCCTGTGTTCCTCTCGTTCTCTGTCTCTCTTTTTGTGTTGTGAGAACCCTTTGACGTAGGTGTGCACCGTGCAGCCCACACACTCCTCTATTTTTACGCAATGAGAGGGGCGGGAGGCAGGGAGAAGGAGTATAGGAGGGTGTGGTTTTTGGGATGAGTGTGTGTGTGTGTGTGTTTTGTTTGGTGGGGGGAGTGGGGAAGGGCGTGAATGAAGATGAAGACAGTCACTCCCCCCTCTCTGTGTCTCCCTCCCTCCCTATCATTTCCAGGTGGACTATATGGATGAAAATGAGGAGTACTTTCAGCGGCAAGCCTCGCACAGACAGTCCCGTCGGCGCTTTCGGAAGATCAACCAGAAAGGGGAGAGGCAGACAATCATCGACACAGTGGATCCGTACCCCACCGGAAAGCCGCCCATAGCCCGGGGATACCACACGGTGAGTTGCACCCTGCGCTTGCAGTTTTGTGTTTACCGTCGCTGCGGTGGATCTCTGTGCGCTCCAGAGGCGGCTCAGTGTTGCTCTGTTGCCGTGTTTGTGCTCTGTTTGTGTGTCCCGCTCATTCCTCAGAACCTGTTGTGCAGTCTTGCTTCCGATCGTAGCTGAAAACGTCCCTGTTTAACCAACTTTGTGTTTGGTGGCCTGAACTGACCCGTCGGTTGCAGGTTGTCTTGTTTTGATGTCTTGTGTCCTTTGGGAAGAGCACCCTTATCCCCAGAGGGTGTGCTTCGATACTGTTTTCCTAATCCTTGCACTGAGCTTTCCTCCCTGAAGTTGCTACACTTGTGTGTAATGTTTGGCTTTAGTGTGTCGATCTACCCTCTGTGTAATAAATGTTTTGTAGTTTGTTGAGCATCTTTTATAGTGTACTCTCTCTGTGCTATACCTACTTGTTTGTGCCTCTTATAGTTGTTAGAATAGTCTTCCAATTTTAGTTTTTTAATATGTTTAGCACCTTTTTATATCTTGAATTTGCACATTAACACACACCTCACCATGCATCGCTTTAGCACTTCGTCTTCAGCTCTCTTTACAATTATGAAGATGATTAAAATGGCAGCATATTGCAAAGCAAAGTCAAGGTGTATATGGTTACATAGTTCCTTTCATCTGTAGATAAAGTGAGAACAAAACTTTTATCATATCCATGTTGCTGTTTGATGATCATTGAACCAAGAGAAAAGGAAGATATTCAGTTAAAAAAGCTGTTAATAAAGCACTGTTTCCCAATGTGGGAATTGGGACTCCAACAAGAGGTGTAAGATGAATGTAAAACTACAACATAACATAGGATGGTTTTAATGCAGAGCACTGAAGTTTCCTTTTGAACATTTTAATGAAACATGAAAAAAAAAGATTTGTTAGTAGTGTCATTTTATCCAGAAAGTAAGATGACGAAGAGGAAAATGGTTGACGATAAGAGTCCAGTATATTGTGATTTAATAGTTTTATACATATGTTGAGTGGTATGTATATACATTTTGTAGACAATACTTCTCATCCTAATTAAATACTGTTTCAACATGTTAGAGGCTGGACAAATCAGCTCACTTTGTGTGTTGGAGAATAGTTTATGATGATGTCGATGATGAAATACGAAAGCAGAAATGTGGTTTGGAGCTCCGATGGTGTAAAGCCCAGTGTAAATCCAATCACAGTGCCATATCTGTGGAACAGTATTGACTTTAACCATGTGAAGGGCTTCCACTCCAGCAGAGGGAGAGTTTGTTGCCCCGTTGCGTTGCACCGAGCTTTCTCCCCTCTGTGCTTCCTTTCCCTGGGAAAAGGAAGCGAAGCATTTTCACACTAATGATCCAAATAACCCAGCATGCAGTTGTTACACACAGTTTTTTCCTGTTCTGCACAATTTCACTGCATTCCCTTCATTCCTGAAGCTCCCTTGGGGCTTCTGTCAGTGTACCCAGTTCTTCTTGGAACACTATGAAACAATCACACTTAAAAAAAGAAAATGCGGCAAACGTCATCTTCCTCCTGCCTCCCTCCAGCCCCACCCTGTTTCCTAAATTTAGACTCGCTGTGTTTTAGTTTCAAAAGACTGCACTGAACTTTCTCATGGCCCGACATCTCCCGTCACACACTCAACTCTCCTCGCTCTAGTACCGTTCCTGTGGGAAGGATGGAGCGGGTGCCATGGCAACCAGCAAGTCCCAAATGGGCTGTGCTCGAGTGCACTTAGAAGTACAGTAGGGAAGGGAGCTAACTTAGCAAGAGTGCAGTACGCCGCCGTTGCTGCTGTGCTGCTGCTGACAGAGGGGTGGAGGGGTGGAGGGGAGCAGAGCGACAGAGAAGCTGAATCTGGGCGGATGCTAAGCTGACATAGCGGGCTAATCTCCAGCATTTAGAATGCCAGGCACCACTCAGATTTTCCTCCCTCCTACCCCGAGGCATATTTAGGAGGTGAGAAATGCACCGAGGAGAAACTTGGGATTGAAGAAAGGAAATCTCTCCAGCAGGCAAGGTTTTTATTCAGCTTAGTCACTCCTGTGAAGGCAAATGTGAGGCTAGGTATGAAAACATCAGAGGAGCCACTGATCTGAAGGTTTCAAAGCTCTTCCAGTGGGACAGATACTGTAGAGGGATCTGTTTTATTAAGGGCTCATGTGCATGTTTTCATTGTTGATTACCTTGTTGATTAATTCTGATTGTTTAGTCTATAAAATGATATAAGATAGTGAAAAATGGCCAACACAACTTCCTGTTTTGTCCAATCCAATCCTCACATTTGAGAAGCTGGGACCAGCGATTGTTTGGCGTTTTTTCTTGATAAGTGACTGAAATTATTCTTCCTTTATCAAAATTGTTGTTTAATTTGATTGCTTTATGTGGAAAAATATATTTTTTAAGTAAAACTATTCATACCACAATCTAAAATACTTAATTACAAGTGAAAGTAATCCAATGTAAAAGTACTCATTGTGGCCCTTGTCTTCTCCCATTATATATTTTTAAATTGTCTCATTATTACTGATGCATTCATATGTGAGCAGCATTTTATTGTTGTAGCTGGTAGAATTCATTAACTATATTGTTTGTATAGTCAACTGGAGCGAAGGTACTCAACAATGCTGCATTTGAAGACTTTTCATTCATCGTTTGGAAAAAGTGATTCCTCCTCTCATCAAGTTCTTGCGACCACTCACGGCATTAAGGAAACAACATTAAACGGTTGGCTATTTGAAGATTGGGTTACTTCAGATGAGATTATTGTTATTGTAAGAAGTGAAACCTTTCATTTAAAACTTAGCGGCTAAGCTCTGCTTTTGTGAGCAAGATGAGATGTGACGTACCAATGCCAGCCACCTTCCTCAGTATTGCATTAAGTCCTGAAATAGCTAATGCTTTTCCAGGAGCAGCATGGCCTTCGTTGTTAGCGAGACATTTTCCTGTAACTCCAAGGTCACAGGTTCGATCCCTGCAGTGGGCAGAGTGTCTGAGAACGGCTGTTGTCCCTGAGCAACAGACTGAACATGCTCAGTCATTGTAGCTTAATATCTAAAATATAAATGCAATGCTAACCCAGGAGTGGAACTCCCACTGGGAGCGCTAACACACATCCAAACACACACACACACACACACACACGCCCCCCCCATCCCCACTCTCCACCATGATCTGAAGCGGAGTTATTATCTGTATGAAGTGAGGATTATTTGGCTCTCAGGGTTCAAACATAATGCAAGTTATTTCTTGAACATTTAAATAAGAGTCTGGCTTTAATGGCTTCATCTGGATCTGTTTGGACTATTACTATCACTTGGAGGGCTTAGGTTGGAGAGAATTAACATGGAATAGTATTTGTTAGATACATGGACTGTTCCATTAGCTATTTCACATATTAGTCTCAATTTATGTAGCACACATTTCAGACAATTCGATGCAATGTGCTTCACAATTAAACAAAATAAGAGATGTTATTTTGCACCAACCAATCAATAGTGACTGACATATCCGTCCCATAGACATCATTTACAGGTGACACAGGAGCGGTCAAGGGCTAGCAGCTGCTAGGAGAATGTTATTTAACATGTAGATCAAAGAAATATGTGGATTTAAGAGTGAATGTGTCTGTATGTCGCCTAAAACAACCTGTATAGCAGTGTTGATGTCATCCGTTTTTGTGTCCATTTTTCTACATTTTTTCAAATTCTGGCACAGGAAGATGACGTTCTTAAACCCGTCTACACAGCTGTGATTTACTCTGTTGCTTTTGCAGCCGGGCCAACAACAGCAATCAATGAGCACAATACCCAATCTATATGAATCAAATACAGGGGATGTTGCGTTTGTGCACAATTCATGGCAGAACTCTTTACAAGTTGCGCCCGAGCTGTCTTTTTGTTTGGCTTACAATAATGCAGGCCTCTTATGTTTGATCATGCAATGGTGTTTTAGCTTCCTCCAGGGAGAGGAATACACTGACCTTTGCAATCATTCTGAGGTGAAAGATGGCAGTTTTGGCTTCACTACTAATGCACTGTCCAGATTTATTGTCAGAGTCAAAGACCACACCTGCTACTAAACATTAAAAGCTTTTGATTTAAGGTATGATGTAACACAGTCCTCGTTTTTCCTATGCCCTCCCTCTCTGATTACCACAAGCCAAGTTTTATCTCCTTGTATCTGGAGGAGGACGTTATGCTCGTGTTGCATTTAGAATTAGCTTGTCGTGTGAATTATTATGTCACATTTTTACTTGAGGAATGTAGCTGATGCCCTCATATAAACTGCTTGAAACGAAACACAGCTGTGGTCTGAGCTTAAATTTGTGGCTTGACATCATTAGAACCAGAGATTAAGATAGACATAGAAAAATACATTTCTGTTTATAGATGTGTCCTGGATAAATCAGGGCAGTGAAAGAGGACAGTGTTTAGGATTCAACACGTGTCTCCTGTGTGCTCTGAGCAGTGGGTTAACACTTGGGTGCCTTGTTCAGAATGGACAACAGTTATTTCTAGCATCACTCAGGCTCTCTCTCTCTCTCTCTCCATCTCTCTGTCGCGCTCGCACACACGCACACAGACACTTGATCTTTCAATATTCTCCCTCGCAAAGGCTCATAATCTCCATTTCTCAGTTGCTCTCCATTTTGCACTTTATCTCACACACTCCATCTCGTCCTCTAATATCAACAGCCATTTGTGCTGTCGACCTGTTGTACGCACACACACACACATGCACACACAGATTTTCTCCCTGATCTCTCACTCAGCCACTCACTTAATGTCTTTGTTCAGATTCTGTCTGTCACTCAGTTTAAAATGAAATGTTGACGTGATTGCCATCAAGGTCTGCTTGTGTTTTCTGAACGCTACACTCCTGATTTCATCCATAAGAAGTTCTGATCATTTCCATTATCTCCTTTTACCCTTTGTCCTCATTTTTCTCCTCTCCTCTGCTTGTTTTGAAACTCTCCTCTTGCACTCAGACACCCCAAACTCTTTGAGTAATATTCCTCCTCTGGGTTTACTCAGTGGCTAGTGGGGCATCTAAGGCCCCAAACAGCTGTTCTATAATTATACAAGCAGCAGGAGGCAGACAATCAATACTCCTTTTACTCTTTTCCTCCACCCGGGCGGCCTGGTGGTTAGCGAGGCCGCCCTGTAATCAGAAGGTCACAGGTTTAATCCCTGCAACAGCCAATGTGTCCATCAGCATCGTGTGCTCTGTTGGAGTGTCCTTGACAGTGACATTGCTCACTCATCTGCTGACTACTTTTTAATTGCTTTAAGACATATATGGAAGGGGAGTTATTGCAGATAAGGAGGAGCCCCTCGTCAGTCTCTCTGACAAGTATTTATGTTAGAGAGCTCTTGAATAGAAATTGTTTACTGCCCACACATGTATGGGATGACTCTGAGACTATATAATGTAATGTAATGTATCAAATTGATGCAAAGACTGGCTTTGCTGCAGGGTTTTACTGTATGTGGTTGCTTTATAGCACAGTCTGACTTCAAATGAACTTTAATGAACTCTGTATCTTAACTTACCTGTTATCACAGCAGAGAGATTAATTGTGTTTGTATCAAATTTGCAATCTTAAAGTGTACTTTCAATGAACAAAAGCAGACATTTTGATGTCTTTCTACATTTTCTGGGAAACAGCCTCGCTCTGTCTAAAAATCTGCCTACCAGCATCTCTAAAGCCCAGTAATTTCCATGTTATATCTGATTTGTTTAATCCCTACTAAAATCAGAGTATTCAAAAAAACCATCTGCCACCTGTGGTTAGTTGTGCTTCACTTAGCTAACTGGCTGCTGGCTCTAGACCACCAGTACAGACCGGAAAGAATTGTTTTCATTAACAGTTAATCTGCCCATTATATTTTCTGTTTCCAATTTGACCTATATTATGTCAGATAGTAGTGAAAAATCTCCAAGGCGACATCTTCAAAATGTTCATAACCCAAGTATATTTGTATGAAACAGAAAAAAAGAAGAAAATCCTCACATTGGTGAAGCTGGAACCAGCAACTTTGCTTGATAATATCTGCTTAATAAATATCTTAAATTATTATTTTGGTGGGCTTTTTTATGCCTTTATTTGATAGGGACAGCTTGAGGTAGACAGGAAATGGGGAGGTGAAGGTGCTGACATGCAGCAAAAGGCTACAGGTTGGAATTGAACCTGGGCCTCTGCTGTAAGGACTTTAGCCTCAGCACGTGGTGTGCGCTCAACCAGGTAAACTACCAGGGCGCCCCAATACATGTATGAGTTGGCGATTTAATGTGTGTCAACTAATATTTGTCAACTAATATTTATTGACTAATTGTTTCAGACCTACTAAAATAATTCAATTTAAATTGCAAGAGCAATATGGTCCAGAAAAATTACAATAAGATATTTTCAGAGATAGAGTTTGAAATGTGGTCTTCAATTTAGAGGCTGAGGGCTTCCTCGACCACTCTCTCATGGGTTTGAGGTAACTTTACCAAAGGTTTCCAAGTTAATTTGGAAAGGATAGTGAATTTTAAAACCACTACACACATAGAACCGTATATTTGGAGTCTTATTGTCTGTTTAGTGGTTGAAAATGTCCTGCAGAAGTGATCTGCTCAGTAATCTGCAGGCAATGGAAAGATGTGTGTGCAAGCCAGAATAATAATGCCCGTATCTGTGTTCCCTACCTGTCCTTGGCCAAGAGCACTGAGAAAGTTGAATTTTCACCTTGAATTCATTAATCTGCTGAGTCCCAGAACAATGAAAAAGATTTGGCCAGTAGATTGAAGTAATCGTTGTTTTCAATAAACGTACCTTGACCATTGAAATCACTTGTTTTCATATATAAGAATCAAAAACAAACAAAACCAATTCATTTTCACTGTGTGACAAGTAAGTTTTATATCTATAAGCAGTGTTTTTGGATGCAGTCACATTCAGCTACATTCAGTCTCAATCTAACATTGAATTGTTTCTCTCTGTTTGGTGCAGAACGTGCATTTTAACATGTCGTTGCGGCTTTCACCCTCTATTTCTCACATCCAGCACTGACAAGTGGCATGTTTGATAACTTTCATCTCCTCTGCTTCTTTTCATGGCCCTCTCCTTTAACCTGGCTGCCAGGAATGCAATAAACCTCAGGTACTGTATCTATTAACAATGTTGTCTGTTGTGTTTACTGTGTGTATGTGTGTGTGTGTGTGTGTGTGTGTGTGTGTGTGTGTGTATGTGTGTTCTGCTTTTCTGCATTTTCTAGCTGTGATGTGTTTGTGTTTCTGCTGGGGGTTTTTATCTTTTCCCCATTTGTCGTATCTGTAGCTTCTGGTACACTTCCTTAATAAATACCTTCCATTTGCGGGCATGGGTGCTGATAAAGACATAGAGGGAAGCCTGCACCACACTCCAATTGTATTACCACAACATAAACAGCAACATGAATTGAATTCTTATGAAACAGCCCTGATAAAACGGCTCCGTCTTCTGCTTCCATACATATTATCCTGTTTTTGATCAGAAAAATAAGAATGCTTGGTTGTGAATGGACTTCATCACGGTGCCGGGTAATGACAGAGAAATGATAAACATCACTCTGGTAGAGCTTATGGGCCTGTAAACTGAGATAATGGCAACAATTTAGCTGATTGAGGTGCACGCTATCTCAAACACTGTGCCTCTCTGCTGATGTGCTTGATAATGGTATTGACTGTCTTTAGGCTATATGGATTATTATTATCCCTGCCGTGTGGGTGTGGTTCTGTTGGGTCTTGCCTCACTGTTGAGATGATCTGCTGATGGTGCTGTTAATGTGTTAAGTGTTTGATTATGATGGCTTTGAAATACATTTATCCAAGTATAACACAGTCATTCAAAAACAAATCTACCATATGTGCTGCGTGGGGAAAAAAGCATATCACCATTCCTTACATATGTCTGGAAAAAATACATATCATATCTCAGTATTCCATCATGGACTCCCGCAGTGTCCAAGCAGAAATGGATTGCGAGGAAGAGGTTGAAAAGATCAGAGCTCAAGGTGTTGAGCAGTCAGACCTGCTGAGAAATGCGAGAGCAGGGAGAACAAACCTGCCACTCTCGGCCGCAGAAAAAGCCGAGCTCCTATTTTTAGAGCTGTCCTTTGTGACAACCTGCTCTGCTTCAGCTGTGCGGGGATACAAAAGCCTCCGCTTTGAATAGACATTGTGTAGGAACTGCAGCGGTGGAAGAAGCAACGGTTCATTGTACACTTTTCTTTTCTCGCATTCTTGCCTCCTGCATTCCTTCATCCTTCAGAATGTGCTCTTTATAATTATTCTTTCATTATCAATTAGTCTGTAAAAATATCATTTTGTTTGTAAAATGCCATAAAATAGAAAGGCCCATCACAATTACCCAAAGCCCAATAATCATTAAAATCTTTCCTGATTCATTTTCTGTCCATCGTTTTAATTGATTAATCAATGGGTCCGCTGGTTCTCAAACTATGGTACGTGTACCACTTCTGGTACAAGAGAGTCCAGTGTTATGCGGGATAATCGCTGAAATATATATAAAAAAAATAAAATACATTTATTTATTTAACATATAATGCTGTCAAATTACTACAAACCACTATGAGATCGTTGGTTTAAAATGAGTTTTGCATTTCCTGTATCAGCCTGCTACATAGTCACATTTATGCACATAGCGATTACATACAGCCATGATTATTTGTGAGCTAAAATGTGATGGCAAGGTAGATAAGAGGATCCAGGATCCAACAACAGTCATCAATAAATAAAGTTATCAGCAATAAACCTGCCTCTTGTGTTAACTTACAGTAGCTGAATATTTTAACGTTGGTCATTATGGTGGAACTTGGAGGGCCTAATATTTTCGAGGTAGAACATGTTGTAAAAAGAAACACATTATTGTTAAATCGGTAACGATAATGAAGATGACTTGATTGTCCAACATGGTCATAAGGATTGAGGAAAAGAGGACAGTTCATTTATCTTCTATAGTATGTAATGCAGTAAATATGCATTTTTATTTTCAGTCGTAGTTTGTCTTCCTTTGTTTCTTTATCTGTATCTTTTTCCCAGCATCAAAAGCAATATCTGTGTTTATAGTTATTAATAGCCTAATATCAGACCTTATGCTTTGATGGAAATGGAACAGATATTTTTGGGAGTGCTCGTACTGGATAATACAGCTGGAATCGTGCAACCGAGAAGAACAAGCTACTCATTTACAGCTGGCGAATGGTTCATATCTCAACCAGTGTTATAGAACACGCTTACTGACATTTGATGTGCTTTTCATGTCACTTCTGACATTCAAAGACCTTTTTTAAAGTTGAGTATTTTCAAACAGCCTGACAGATGACATTTATTTTCGATGGTAATGAGCCTGCACGGCGAGGATAACAAAGTACGCTGTTTTTGTTGTTTGTGTCACTTAGATTTGATCAGAATCTCTCTAAACAATTGATAGCAGAACTGTTTGATCTGTTCAATGTTGAGCGGGTGTGAATGCTGCAGGAGATACTTGAGATATTAATAACAATGCTCTGCTCTTGTCTGGTGAAATAAGGGTTAAAATGTGTTTTGTAAGAGTCTGAAAATAAAATTTGTAGAGCTGTCTTGCTTCATATTGGGTGCACAGTCCCCTGGATGCATATTAGCATCGAGATAGACAGATGATAAGAGCATAATGATGGGATCATAGCGGCTTGTTGTTTCTAGTTCAGCTTGAAACAGCTGTCTGGCATAAAGACATAAAAAAGAGACCTTTATTAAACGTTCACATAATATTGTTGTATTTAAACATCCGTAACGCGGGGATAATACTGATAGTAGCCATGAACCTAGCGAGCAGTAAAATGGAGAATAAAACCGGCTAGATGTAATATCCTCTTAAATAAAGTTGCACAATGTGATGAACTGTTAAGCTGTAAAAGATGATATCAATTAACACATCAGATTCCACATGAGCAATTATTGCTCACCCAGAGATCCATTTATATCTGACTTGACACACCTTCCAACAAATTGCACTATAAAAGGAGTCCTAAATCCTGACATAATGACTTCTTGTCTCATGAAGGAAATATTCACACTCTCCTCTCTAGACGCTTCCCCTTTACACATCAACAGTTTGCGGTTATCACTGAGGTTGTTTTGTGCTTTTTGGTGTGGCCTTTGCCCCTCGTTGTTGTATGTATTTATAGGTAGCTAGCCAAGTAGTTTGTGGATATTTGAGAGACTCTGAGAGGCTGCGATTTCTCCAGCCCTAAAAAAAGAGTGACTGCATTACATTGTGGTTCATTGAGGCTGCTGTTTGTGGGAAATTGGTCTATATGCCTCCTGAGTGATGGATTTCATCCTGTATGGTTGTTGAGAGGCAGCGCAAATCATACAAAAACACCACATTGTCTCCATTTGACCAATTATGTTAAAAAAATTATGAAATATTTTATAGAGCTGTTTTTAGCCATGCACTCTTTATTTATGGCTTTATTTATGGCTTTATAGATGGCAATGATGTTTCCTGTCCATTGGTCCAAAAAGCTATTGGATGGATGGCCGTAAAATATTGTTGGAAAAATCCTAATAATAAAAAAATAAAGCGAAGGTCCAATACTTTGTTTTATGATCTAATACCTGCAAAACTAATGACATTCTCCTCAGCCTCAGGTGCACTTTGTACCTTTGCCTTTACCATTTCCATTTGTTTTGGATGTGGACTGGAGGGTAACAGGAACATTGGGAAAGAAACAGTGAGGTGAAACATAATTGTAAAGTCAAAGACTTCCAGTTCGTAACCTTCCACAGTTAGTCTATAACCTGATCCGGAAACCTATAGTTACTGAGCAACCTTTCACTCACTTGCCAACAATCTTACTTTGCCACTTATTCTCCAAGAGCTCCTCTTTTCATTCACTTTCAGATTTTGATTTATGCGCCTTGTAGCAGGTGCTGGGGTACGACAGATGTTTTGCCCCTGTGAACCTACAAGTGTAATCTTTTAAACGTGCCTGGCTGCCTGCGTTTCTGCCAAATTATTTTCAGAGCAGCGTGCAGGTGACAACAGCTTGATAAATGAAATAATCCCTTGGGCTGTTGCAGCTATGAAAATGTAGTCACTTTATTAGATCATCTTTCTCGTTCTAACAATGCTATTTAGAGCCATCGTAATGGGACCGACGTCAAGGATTAATGCACCGAGCAGGCATTCAGGAGGGCTGTGTTTTCTCTACAGGAGGCGTTCTGTTAGCTGACAGACAAATTCACTGAACAGGGGTAGACACAGATCAATAAATCAGAGTATGTAGAGTTTGATCCTGTAATAGCCAGTGTGTGTCCATGAGAAGTCACATATCCCGTTGAAGGCTTCTTGAGCAAGATACTGAAAAACGATCTGCTCACTCATTGCAGGTAAGGTACAGTGTAGGAGCTGAAGTTTCTTTCTCTGGTGCTATGATTTAGATTTGTTTGTTTAGATCCTAGCCGGTTGATCTTTTTTCCTCCTAGCGTAGTTAATGTTTCCCATACATCGTCCTGCTGCTGTTATAGTCACCAGTATACAAATGCATATTAATCCACGGCTGAAAATAGTCCCTAACAAATGCACGATTTACTCTTTTTTTGAGTAACAAGTTTTTAAGTCTGGAAGTATTCAGAGATAGACTAGACATTGCTGATTTTGGCCTTTTCATTTGTTGACAGTGTAAAAAAAAAAAGTACAGCCAGTCTTATCCATTGATTCTAAGAGTGTAAACATCACCGTTGTCCACACCGCATCCATTAGAGTTCAATTCAACACTTGATCATTTGAATCTCTTTCTTCACAGTGACATCAGTTCTAAGTGGACAAACAAGTCTCCTGTCATGGTGTCAGTGGTGTGTGAAAACAATCACACAAAACTCTGAACAATGTAAGGTCTTTAGTTTTATAGGAAGTCGGAAGCATTTCTCCAGCCGGAGCATCATGTTAACCCCACCATTAGTCTCTGGCATGGATAAAGGGACATTAAAGTCTCAAAACACAGAATATTGGGTGAGGAACTGAAATACTGGACGAGGAACTGAGCCTCAGACACGCAGTCCATGTGACAGATTTTGTTAGTTTGTTTTTTGGGTGCTTGTGAGTATGCATGTGAC